AACAGTATATTTATTTTCAGCTATCGGCCTGAATATTTGAGAAATCTTATTAAAAATTATATATATATATATATATATATATATATATATATATATATATAAAAGTATATAATTGGTATACACGGAATGAATTCCAATAACCAACAATTACTATTCTTAAAAGAGTGCTCAATACAAAGTAGAAGCAGATATAATTATTTTTATAAAAAATTTATAACATAAGTATGTTATAAAATCACTAAAAAAAAGATTTTTGTTTCAACACTCTCACTTGATCAAGACACAGATGTGTTGAAAAAAAATTTTTTATTTTTGTAGTGATTTTAAAAATACTTATGTTATAAATTTTTTATAAAATAATTATATATATATATATATATATATATATATATATATAATTGTATATTTAGACAGCAATCCCTGTTTTATAGATGTTTCATTAAGACGAGTGAGAAGTTACTGTAATTAAGCTTTTTATTTAATTTTTCTGGTGTTCATATATTTTTTTTTTATTTTCTGGACACAAAATGTGTAAAAATTGTACAAAAGTTTTTCATATCCGACCGCTTTCGCCCATAATTTTACCCATTATGATGGGTGATTTTTATTTTTAAATGTATGTGTGGTTTTTATCTGTGTGTGTTTTAAGTTATAAGAATGTTTTATTTTCCAAACATGGTCAGTACATTGTGCCCGTGTTCGTAGTTAATGTTATTGAGTGTTAGCTTTTACTTTATTATTATTAGGGCTTCCATTATTTTTAATCATTGTTACATGTGGATGAGTCTATTATACTTGTTTTTTTCTACTAGTAGGTTTCCGATGGAGATTGGTAGTTTTTTGTGTTTTAAATGAGTCCTAATTGAGCTATGGTCGGGTGTAATGTAAGTCGTCTGGATAGGCATGTAGTAGTATTACCAATGTAATTATTTATGAATTTGGTTTTATCAGGAAGACAGTTCCTTAAGGGACATTTGAACTCGTAAATAATGATGGTTCTTTGTTGATTTGATTTTGCGAACACATGAAA